TTGGCAGCAGAACAGGGCGTTTACGCGAATCCAAGCTGTTGCAGAACAGGGCGTTTGCGCGAATCCAAGCTGTTGCAGAACAGGGCGTTTACGCGAATCCAAGCTGTTGCAGAACAGGGCGCGAATCCAAGCTGTTGCAGAACTGGGCGTTTGCGCGAATCTAATTGCCTGCAACCGAAACCTATCATACTACTGCCCATCCTGTGACGCATTGCATGGTAACTTGGCGCTTGATCTGCTTCCCGGCATGGATCACAAGAGCTGGTGATGGTGGGAGTTGGTGTTGCCGAGACACGCTTTTCGGAGGTGAGTGTTCAAACAAGTGCGTCTCAGCTGGCCATATGGTGAGCCAAGGTTTGAGCAGTTCTGCCAGACGGGCTTGTCAACCAAGCAGCTTTGCCGCATTTTGCTATGTGGCTGTGGGTCAAAACCAATGGGATCCCATTTTGGGGTAGGTGCGGCACTCTCGTAGGTGTACCGCCCATTTTAGTCTATAGCGGGGATTGGGATGTTCACTGGGGGTACGATTTGGATTTTGACCCGTGGCCATGTGGAGGGCGGACAAGATGTATTTGCAACCTCTGAGTTGATGTTATATCGCTTGGCGGTGTGCTCAGTGATGGGCTCACTGCAATGGGTTCATGTCAAAACTCGATGTCAACGTTTGGATCTTGCCTGTCCTTCGCAGTTCTATAGTACATGCCGGTGACTACTGGCGGCCTTATTTTGCTTCCCCTTGAACAAATCCCTCAAATTAGAATAAATATGGCTCAAAATTTAAGAGCCACCGCAGGTTTGAGTTTACTTTCTCATTTACCAGGGTTCCATTTACCAGCCCCTAAGTTTCAGCGCCACACCCAAGGGCTCCATTCGGGTGTGTCGTTCTTGCGGGCGCCCATTTTTGTGTGGCTTTGCAAGGACACCACAAGGACCACCAACTATCTTGGGGGGGGGTCCACTCAAGAAAGTGACACACCCATGTTCACCCCTGACGTCGCCTCATGGCCTTGAGCCGAGTCCCATGCTGCACAAAGTGCTGGTGGAGCAGCTCCTGAGCGTCGACGACTTCTTGATCTTCAAGGCCCAGCCCCGAGCATCCCGAGACGTGTTGTTTTTCTCCTTTTCTCGCAGGTACCGCGGACTGTGGATGGTAGCGAAATCCAGACATTTCGCACCACCTTCTAAGAAACCCGGGTTTCTGATTCGATTCCCCTGTAAATACCCAAATGGTTTCACCCATGGATTCCAAGTGGTGGATTTCGTCCATCCACAGTAGGGAGGGGAGAAGGGTGTTCTCTGACCAACCCAAAACGGCCGGCTTCTTTTCCTCTGGGTTTCCGCAAAAAAGAAACCAACCAAAAGGGGGACACCCCGCCCGGGATTCCGAGGAATTTTTGTGTCTTGGCAGTGACAGATGCATGGCAATATCAGATCGTATTGTTAACCGAAGGGCAGACAGTTGCATGAGCAAGGATCTCAATCATGAGTCACCGAACTAAGATGTGTTTCACATTTTGCCACGGGCAGCACGTGGATTGAACTTTTGCCAGGTGTAGTGCTCGGACAACGGAACAAATAGGTCTTGGCAGTTCGGACATGCCACTCGTGGTTAAGCTCTGCAGTATCGACGAGCTTTTTGGAATTCAACCTTTTGAGCCTGTATCCTTGACTGCTATTGGGTTGGATCTTTACACTTTAACTTTTTGGGAGGGTCAACAGCAATCAAGTATCGTTGCATTTTTCTCTTCAAACGGAAGTTTGCGTTTTGGGTACGAGGCGATGATGACCAAGAGGAATGCTGACCTCTACCGGGAGGCGCCGTTCTGGCGGGATGGACCCGACACAGCCCCAATACATGCAAGCGTGAATCCCGACAACACTCATTCAGGGGGGTGCGGAGAGCGGCAAGACTCATGTTCATGTCAGGCGTTTGTCAAATCAGACCAAATGCTGTGCCTCTGCCAGCCATCGACTAGCGATATACAAACGGCTCCTGTTCCATGCCGTTTTCGAGCAACATGCTTCAGGCAGAGAGGCGGGCAGAGGCCGGCCTGCTACAGGAGAGGGACTTCGGCTTTGGACTTTGGCTATTTGGGACCTGTCTCCGTTACTCTTAGCACCTCAAATGCGTGCGCTTGACGGCTGATATGGCCTTTCTGAGCTTGGCTCCGTAGGAAGATGCAGTTTCCCTGGCGTTTGTCCGCAGGGCTCACAAAAGAAAGTCATGTATGGTCAGTTCAGACTTCAGACTCGCGCGGCAATGTTCATCAATGCACATTGGTAGCGTGGCTTAAGCTGCATGCTCGCCTCAGGATGACTTCCATGAGACCACCGTAGAGGATGATGAGGCACGATGGACCCTGTCTCCACCCAACGGGCAGAAGACCACTTTGAAATCAAGAGAGGTTTTCCATTTTCACGACCACCGGCGACCACGACCTGGTCAGTGGAATGAGCACTTTTTGTCTGCTCGATTGCTTTCGGTCAAGCTGAACACAAAGGACAGGCACTGCTTGGTTCGCTATCTTTTTCTGATTGTGAGCCTAAGGAGAAAAACAGATCAGTTGTCCTGTGAAGCCTTTTCCCCCACTGATGGATGGTCCTCCAACAATAGAAACCAAAAAGAGGTTCAGTTGAAACCATAGCGGTTTGACCTTCCCCAACATTTCCTCCACCAACCAGCTTCGCCATGAAAGCATTGAAGAATGGGTTGGCCACCAACACTTTTCGACTTTGGGTAACAGACACCCCATTTGAGCCCAAATAAAGAAGATGTCCGTTGTATGTGTCAATGTAAGGCATGATCCCAGTTGTTTTGGACCTATCAAATCAGCTGCACCGCCGCTTGTAATTTGAAGGGCAGGAGTGTGCTGCAGGAGCGACCGCGCAAGTCAAACATGGGGCTGCAAGTAAAGCGCAAGTGAAGCGCAAGTGACGCAGTGATGATTCATCATCATCATCATCATTATCATCGTCATCATCCCCATGGCCCAAAGATTAACAAGTTTTCGCGCAAGTCCCGCGCAAGTCGCGCGCAGCCCGCAGATGCCCCCAAACTGCTTGGAGCAGGAGTGGCCCATTTCTGTATTTTGCATTTTCTTTTTTCTGCAGATCCCAGCAATGTTGCCGAGTGAATTTGTTATGATAAAATGTGCAGCGGTGTATACACATGAGACCTCACACACTTCAAGGGGCATGCTATTGGGGGACCTCATGCTTATGAAGACCGCCGCTTGGATTTGCAATGAAAACAACTTGGGATAAGAGTCTTAATACGGTTGTTTTTTCCAGCTCATTTGAATTTGAGACACACCTGGAGTTTAAGCAGATCTGACAAGCCTGGCGGTGCTTTCGCTGGCGGTGCTTGCGACTGGCAGTGCTTGCAAGGCGGACCTGGCAGCAGAGGTTGGCGCCGCTGCCTTGCTGGGGGACGAGTGGAAGCTCTACGAGGACGGTGGATAAGTTTTCCCGATTTGGGTTTCTGTTCGTTTGGTCATTGCGGGGTGGGGCTGGGGATTTGGTTTGGGTTGAGGTTTGGTCCTGCGCTTGGATTCCTTTTTGGGTGTTGCCGCAACGACTGGCAACCAGAGCCGGGTGCCCATAGCTTGTGATTGAACCCATCGAAGTTTGGAGCTGTGCTGGGTTTCGGAAGCAAAACGCAGCGATCGACTGTCTAAGCGCGTGCAGCCGCGCCACGCCTGAGGACCAGCTCTTCCAGGCCAGCGTTCGGAGGTCGTCCCTGGCCAGCGCACTTTGGCAAGCCGAACGCAGCACCCTCCCTCCAACAAACAAATTGCACCCGTGGAAGGGTACCTGGAAGATGGTTCTCCTCTTGGTGGCACCCTGTGTCAGTTGCCATGTTAGTGGGAGGGAGGGTGACTGGTTGATCGATTTTGAGTTAGAAGTGGTGCATTATGCACTGATTGAGATTCCATTCCGTGCCTGCGATGCCAAGAACGATGTGCGTGAACATGGCTCAACGCCACTTCCCCTATTTTCAGGGGCCGGCATGAAACATGGCAGATCGCAGTCTCCAGAAATTGATTCAAGCTTTGGTTGGCCATTTGGCAACTGGGACGTACACATTTGCCGCATGCATGCTGTGAGACTTTGGGACGAGTGACCCATCCAATGCATTTGGAGGGAAGCTGAATTGGATAGACCTGGGTGTGACTCGAACATCAACATCTGCAAACCGCAGGTTTGAGTCCACCTTTCCATTTACCAGGTCTCCATTGTGGGCCCCTATATAATATTATTATTATTATTGTTATTATTATTATTACTATTATTACTATTATTATTATTATCATTATTATAATTGTCATCTTTATTATTGCTATTGCTATTATTATTGTTATCAGTAGTAGTAGTAGTAGTAGTAGTAGTAGTAGTAGTAGTAGTAGTAGTAGTAGTAGTCGTAGTAGTAGTAGTAGTAGTAGTAGTAGTAGTAGTAGTAGTAGTAGTAGTAGTAGTAGTAGTAGTAGTAGTAGTAGTAGTAGTAGTAGTAGTAGTAGTAGTAGTAGTACATACATACATATATAGATATATTATTATTATGATTATGATGATGATGATTGTTATTATTATTGAGCCCCCCCCACCCCCTTCGCCCCCCACATTTCAGGCGTTGGAGGAGAGTCAGAAGGACGACGAGGCCCTTGCCAGGCAGCGACAACGGGAGGAGGCGCTCGCCGCTTCAAGCGCTCCGTTGCTTCAGGGCCCCTCCCCTCCCCCTTGACTTGCTGGTGTGATAGGCGGGGAATGTGGGAATGAACCTAGGAGTTCCCATAAAGGACACCAGGGTCATTCCCTCATTCCCTGCCCATTGCACCAGCAAGATTAGGAACATCTTCGTGAGCCGACACAAGCGCACCGCCTTTCATTTGGAGATCCCAAGGCCAGACAACAAACTCTACAAATCTTGAGTTTTGAGCATCAGCGGCATGATTCGCGCTTGACGGCCGATGGATCAGAGACGAGCGAGGCATGGAAGCAAGCTTTGCGGCCGCCATGTGTGTTTGGATCTTTGGGGAAGGAAGGATGCATCAGCAAGCAGTTGCTCCGCACCATTGTTGGCCAGGAGGATATGGAGCGAGCCATTGCACTTTCACTGCAGGCGGAGCAGGACGGTAGGCCTTGCGCCATCTTGGCATGCCAGGCTTTCCATGGTTGCAGGCAGCACTCTTAAGCCGGCTAAGGCCGCCTGCCTTTGGGTGTGGTTATGTTACATGTTCAAAGAGACACCCAGTATCTGTGCAAGTTCATGTCTTAGATCCTTCGAGATCATTCTGGTATTTTGCCGAAGTCATCGAATCAGAATCATGTCTGGTGCTTTCTATGCGCCGCACTTCCGGTCGTAATCTCCAGCCCCAAAAGGCTTTTTACCCGGCAAGAGCAAAGTGATGACATTGAAAAAAACACTCCAGCCCTTTGACTGGATTTCGTCTGGGTTCAGGAGCAGCGCGATCCGGATCCTCTCGACCCGCAGGCTATGGGCACCGGTGGGACCCTCGTTAGGTTTATGAGGCTCGCAAGAGAGGTGGTCTTGCGTTTGGAACCCCGACTGTGGTAGAACTGATGACATGTGCTGCTCCGGTATGCAAGGGCCGGGTTGATGGTCATGGACCGGTAGACAGATATTGTAAGGGTTCTTCGTAAGGGACCCCATGACCATTTCAACCACGGAGCTTATGGCACACACGGCCCTGAGCTGATTAGGAAGAGAAGGGGCAGGGGGCTGTGCAGATGTGACATTGGCTAGTAGAGGTGGAGGGTAAAGATATGCTCAGAGGTGCTCATTGAGGTTGAAGCTGAGCAAGGGGGTTTGCGACCTATGAATGTTCCTTTGGTGAAGTAAACTGCCTAGAGCATCTTCAGCTGACCAACGAAATGGTCTTCTTCTCAGGGCTGGCCTTTGCAACGACCGCCATACAATTGTTTTATTGAACCTGCACACGTTGAGTTTGCTCTGCCTAATGGTGGGGAAATGCCACTACACTTTCTAGGTCCCCCAGTAGTGCCCTTTTAGTTCCCTCCCAAAATAGACTACTGAAGAAAAACATCGGGTACCCTTATTCTACTGGAGGACCTAGCTGTTGCAGAGTCTGGTCATCCATCCTTTGCAGCCCTTGGTCAAGACCTATGGTCAGGGACCCCGAGTTTGGGTGAAATGGAGGGTCGTCAGACATGTTTTTTTTTGCATAGGCCTTTAGCTCAGGCACCCCTAATTGGTGGTTTGGGTTGGTGGTTTGGGGATTTGAACCGCTGGTAACTTGTTAAGGGTAAATTGGAGGGAGCTGATTTTAACTTATCAGAAAGCAGCTGCTTCCCGGTTTTTTTCCCTTCACATGTGTGCATAGTTGAATTCCGGCGAACGCGCCACGCAATACCGGCATTCGTTGCTGACGGCACCGCCGGGTCTTCGGCGCAAAACATTGCACTGGCTTGTCCGGGCGGCGGTTGGTTCTTCGTGTGGGTGTTGGTCGAGGTAGGCATCGGGAACTGCTGCTGCTTGCTCCGCTTGCGCTTGGTTAATTGCTTCTCTGGCTTGCTTTGCCGCGCGCGCTCGGTTTGCGGCTGCGCTGGTACCCTTTCCTGAACTGTGTGGGTGTTGCGGTTTAACAGGATTTCCTTTTGGTTGGGTGTGGTTCATTGCCAGCCGAGGGCCATTGTGCTCTTGGAGCCAGGAGGATTAGATCGTCTCTTGCTTGTTGGTGGGCTTGGGCCAGTTTAATTTCTCCGAGACATCGTTTCAAACCCTTTCGCGCCGACGAAACAAAGCAGGCGGCCTCCTCCTCAGCGCCGGTGCCTCCAGTCCCAAGTGACCAGGCCGGGGCCCGGGGGCGGCGCTCGGGCATTGCTGTGCCAAAGCAACCAGGCACTGCCAAGCTGATTTGCAAGCTGTTTGCGCATGTGTGTTTGCGTTTGAGAGGTTGACCCGGATCCCCAAGAGACTGGAAACAACCCTGGATGGCTGGTGAAAACTAGGTGCAATATTGTCAGACGTTGGCTTCATGCCCCCTGCCAGCACTATCCCACCAAACGTTTTAAATGTCAGGGACCAGGCGCATCCCCCTTTTCTGAGACGACTCAGGTGATGAAGAAACAGCAAATGAGTCAAAATCGAAACCCGGGTAGATGAAGGTCAGTAAGGGACGATCCCAACCAAAAATAGCTGCGTCCGCCTTCTTAATTCTTGAAGCATGGTTCTGGAGCCATTTAATACCGGGTTTTGACTACGAATCAAATGAAGGCTGATGATCCCCCAGCTGCCACTTGGATTGCCCACCTGCGCGCTCGCCCAGCCGGCGGCATCTGAGCTGCCGCCTTTGAAGCCGTCGTCTCTGGGGCCTTTGAGGCCGGCGCTGGGCGAGTTGAGGCTTGAGAGCATAGGCGTCCTTTTTCGGTTAGTTTGGTTAAAAATGGATGGCACTGGTTTAGATGGGTTTTGTTCCATTTGCCAGGGCCATCTATTTTTCCAAAAGGCCACCTATGCTTGAGAGCTAGGAATGCAATGGGACTATGGCAACGATGGATCTGTCAAGGAGAACACCCACAGCATTTGTGACCCACTGCAGTGTGCTTCTGCAGTCCGGCAAGTTTGATTTGGATAGCTGGTTTAGACACAACCAGTTGTTTTTATTGGGACGGCACATGGACATAGATCTGGGGCATCCGAGTCGAGCACGTGGCTGTGGGCCCTAGGCCGGTGATCCCTCGGGTCATGCGAGTGGCCCCCATGAACTCTCGGCCAGGGGCGCGGCTCCCAGATTTGGAGCGCCATGCCACACTTGCAGATTTCCCCGAAGGCCCAAGCAGGGCTCCCAAAAGCGCCGGGCCCATGTGGTCCGTGAGCCATTATTTTTCCCACCTGTAGAGCACCTCAGAATCCAAAAGCACCTGCCTCTTGGGGATCAGTCTTGTGGTACGGGCAGGAAAAGAAGTAGCTGTCTGAGATCAACATATGAAGAGATGCCCATGTTGAGCCATTTCCCAATGTGCCCAGACGGCCGCCTCTGTGGCGCCTGAGGCGCCGGGAAGTGCCCAACTTGTCACCTTGTGATGGGGAGCCACCTTGGTTGGTGGACATAAACCGCACCGAAAAATGTCCAGCTTTGGTCCGTTCCTCATCAAAATTGATTCATACCAGCTCTGGTCAGGAGCAGTTATCAGACCCTTCGATCATTCGGGGTCTGAACGTGAAGTCCAGCCTCCGAATCAAACATATGCAGGGCCCCCACGTCATTCCATGCGGTTAGTCCATTTTGATTTGCCTCGGTGATATCTTCTATCTACCATCGCCGCCGCCGCAGGCGCCGCCGCAGGCGCCGGCGCCGGCGCCGGCGCCGGAGGTGGCGGAGCTGGACACCTCGGCCCCGCCGCCGCCGCCGCCGCCGCAGCCGACGGAGGAGAGAGCCTAGGGCTCGTCTTTTGGTCGAGGGTCCCTTCTGCTTTGCTGGCTGCCCAAAAGGACAAACAGTCAAAAGCAAGACACACCCACCTGCCACACTGTGGCGTTGGGCTGTATGGATGGGGCTCAATGAATCAGATCCTAGACACTGGCACACTTCTGTGTCCTTTAATGTCCACTGAGAATTTGTTCGTGTGGACTTTGTTGCCCTCGTCAAGGGGTGTGTGGGCCCCACAACTCTCTCAGGAGGAGCGCCGCGCGCGAGCGGAGCACCTCAAAAGGCGAGCCAGATGCCAGTCTGGCTAAGCTTGGGAGTATTTTTGGATCAAAGCGACACTGCCATGATTTGCTTCTGTTCAAGTATATCACCTGGTGCATGATGCCATGCGGGACACCCCTTCTTTTTTTCATTCAAGCAACCATGGCCTGTTTGTGGCCATGTTGCCAACACCTTGCCTTGGACTGGTTAGACAAAGGCAGGATCGTGGGCCTTTCGGTGTCGCTCCTCGCCCGTGACAAGTGGCCCGGACGTGTTTAGCCAAGTGCAGGATCCGATAGATGGGTTCCCTCTCAGTTCCCATTTTGGGCTCTTTGGGCACTCGGAGCGAGGCAGCGGCAGCTGCTGGTGGAGAAAAGGAACAAGGCAGGGATGCGGACATGTCCCGCCCTATGAATGTTTGGCCGACTCAGTCGCGGCAGCCTAGTTTAGGGCAGGATCTTGCTTTGAGCTCCCCTCACATTCTGTTTGATCCTTTTTCCCCGAGATCTTGGAGACATTTTCGGGCGGCCAGCTCGATATTCGGAAGGTGGAGTCGCGCCGGAGTTGCTTGCTTCATTGTGGGGATTTTCATCTAACTTGTAGTGGCAATCCTTGCTGTGTGAATGACTAGTTGTATGAGTTCGATCACACGTACACAGTAGGGAACGAGATAGAGAGAGAGAGAGAGAGAGAGAGCGCGACAGAGAGCGAGATAGACAGAGAGAGAGAGAGAGAGAGAGCGGGAGAGAGAGAAAGATAGAGGGAGAGAGAGAGAGAGGCAGAAAGAGAGAAAGACAGAAAGGAAGAATCGGAGAAAGAGAAAACGAGAGGAAGGGAAAAGGAAAACAGGGAGAAAGCGGGAAAGGGAGAAAGCGCGAAAGAGAGACAAAGCGAAAGAGAGAAGAGAGAAAGAGACAGAGAGAGAAATGGGAGAAAGAGAGAAAGAGAGAAAGAGAGAAAGAGAGAAAGAGAGAAAGAGAGAAAGAGAGAAAGAGAGAAAGAGAGAAGGGGAGAAAGCCCCAAAACGAGAGAGAGAGAGAGAGAGAGCGAAAGAGAGAAGAGATAATTGGACAGAGAGAGAGAGAGAGAGAGCGAGAGAGAGCAAAGGAGAAAGGGCGAAAATGACGAAGGGAGATTGAGAAAGAGAGGCAGAGAGACAGAGTGATAGAGAGACAGAGGGAAGGGGAGAAAGGGAGAAAGGGAGAAAGGGAGAGAAGGGAGAAAGAGACAGAGAGAGAAAGAGATCAAAGGAGAAAGGAAAAAAAGGACAAAGGGAGAAGAGAGAGGGAAAGAGAGACACAGAGTTGGAGAGAAAGAGAGATTGGGAGAAAGAGAGAAAGAGAGAAGGAGAGAAAAACAGAAAGATATATTGAGAGATTGAGAGACAGAGTCAAGCAAGTCTTTCAAAGACCAGTCAACGAGCCATCCAGTTGTGAGATGCCATGGTCCGGTTGCTCACTTAGCAGGAGAGACAGAAGCAGCTGGAGCTCTCAGCCGTGAAGCGCCGGCCAGCTGACCAGGCCAGTGATATGTTCTCGCAAGTGCATCTGGGGTTGCGATGTGAGCAGGTGTGCTTTTGCTTGTGTTGTCAGAGTAGCGGTACAGATGGGCAACATCCGGAATGATCCATGGTAACATGGGTGTGTTCCTGTTGCCGGTCCTCCTTTTGGGGGCTGGGGTTTGGAAGGCAAACCACTAGGAACACTCACCCATTTTGGAGGGCCCCTTTTATAGAAAGATACACCCATGTAGCCTGGCAGCGGGCGAGAAGCCAAAAGTCAGGCGCCCTGCCCGACTTACGGCTTTCTTTTCTGGATGGTTGCGAAATCCCCTCGCACCTAAGACACCCTGATGAGTCGATTCCCCTGTCAATACCAACCAACGTTATGCTTTCCCATGGTTTCAGTTCGTGGTGCGAAGGGATTCGCAACCATCCGCAGTAGAAACCCGCCAATTGGGCAGGGCACCTGGACTTCTCGCCCGAACAAGGACAATGAAAGCCCCCTGCAAGGTGGAAAACAGAACATCAAAAGGCCATTCTTTTCATGGGAATGGGCAAGGAAATAAAAGAAAGACACAGCAATTCCAGGAATTCCCGGCAACCCTTGGGGTACTCGTCCGGGTTTCTACTGTGGATGGACAAAATCCATTTGGCACCACCTAAGATTCCCTGGTTTCTGATGAATCCCCTGTAGATACCAACAAACGTTCTGGTTTCAAGCATGGTTTCCAAGTGGTGCGCGTTCCAAAAGGAAAAAGCAAAAAAAAACACGTCCCAGGAATTCCAAGCAGCCCTTGGGGTACTCTTTTTCGGGTGTTCTACGACTCACGGACGGCGGAGACGTGGATCCATCCATCGCGGCTCCCGCAGTCGAGGCGGTGGGCCCCGCGGCGCCGGCGGCGCCCACCTTGGTGCAGGAGCTCAGCGGGGAGCAGCCGAAGCCGGAGCCCAGCGCGGCGGCGTGGGGCCCAGGACACTGGAGGTCTCTCCTTCTTTTGCTGTTGTTTGTTTGTTTGTCTGTTTGTTTTCGGTTCAAAGCGACAACTTTTTTTTTCTTCTTTTTTTTCTCGGGGGGGGGGTCGGGGGGCGCTTTTCTTTCTTCGTTTGTGTTTTTTGGGAGGGGGGTTGGGGCTGCTTTGCCTTGTTGTTCTTTTCTTTTTTTCTCTTCCATAGGTTTCCCAACTCCTTCAGTTACTTTTGGGTTTCTGTTCATGCTCGTGTGTCTGCGCGTGTGCGTCACTGGAGCACGCTGTGATTCATGAGGCTGGCCCATCAGTTGTCGTGTTTCTTCTGATCCTGAGTATTCCGTTAAAAGCACCTTTCAATCTGACGGGGCGGCCAGCGCATATGTCCATGATTCTGTACAGCGCACCCAAATCCTGAAACTTTGAACCACTTCTGCCCCACGCCTTGATACCCACTGAATTTACCCAGCCATGGCCCCGGGCCTGAAATGGACGCGTCAACCCCAAGAGAAGGCAGTTCTCCCACAATGTTAACCCCAGATTATTACCCCCCTTGATTCTCAGGGGGTGTCCCCTTTTTGGTGGGGATTCATCACTTTTGGAGGGAACCCCCCCAATGGGACGGGTTTCGTCATCCTGGGTCAACCCAGAGCCGCCGCCAGGCAGCGGCAGCTCAGATGCGGCAAGCCCTGGCTTCGCAACTGAAGCAGACGCTGAGGAGAGGGCCGAAAATTGGGTGCCGTTGACCACATGGCCGTGGGTCGAAACCCATTTTGGGGGTTTTCGGTGCACCACCCATTTTAGAACCTATTTTAGTGGGGAAATTGGGATGTTCACTGGGGGTACGATTTGGATTTTGAGCCATGGCCACGCTTGTAGGGCTTGTTGAGCCTTCAGACTGTTGACTCACTTACAATGCTGGCTGCAAGGCTTATTCGGGATGTGAATTGTTGGCTGCTTTTGACGGTCTGTTGTGGCTGGACAATTGATGAAGTGCAGCTTGCCGGGGCAGGTCTCAAATGCAGGGGAGATTTGTCAAGTTCAGGGAGGGCCCGGCCCAATGTGTGATGTTGTTGAGGAAAGAATACGCCCTCTTACGCTGGTCACTGCCACACAACAGGCTTTGTTGAGGAAGGGTGTTTGGGGTATGTTGCAGGCGACCTCGGCAAGTTTTTCAACTTGGTGCACCCTTGAAGGAATCCAAAGGCTGGACCTCCGTACTCGTCATTTTTTCATTTCCCAAGCTGACGGCAATCGATGAAAGAGATCGCAACTCCGCCAAGAAGTTCTTGGAGCCCTGATCTCCGACTACCACACACTTCCGGGCCGTTTCTCAGCCGCGCAAACGCCAGGGGCGTTTGATGCCAGTGAGAGGACTGTCCCGTCCCAAGCACACACGTTCGTACATTCGTACATGGTTGTGTCCTTTTTTGGGTGGTTTCAACTGGAAGCCAAAGGGAAACCACAGCATGTGGGGGTTCCCCTTTGCGACACACCCACATTTATTGTACTTTGAACTTATACACCGTATTGACACGTACGCGCGCATCTGATGCACGTGTAGCTTGTGTCCGAGCGCGTCACTTGTCGCTGTGTTCCATGCCCGGAAGGTGTGGGCTTAGCGACCGGAGGAAGGCCCATCCAAAGGAGCGGGCCCAATCCTTGCCTCACATAGACCTTCAAGGACATCACGTCTCTTGAAGCGGTGCCTTGCAGCTCATAGTTCTCATTAAAGCCCGTGATTTGGGTGGATGAAGGAAAGAGAGCGCACTGGTTGGAAGAGGGTAGATCTCACCTGGTGGCTCTTGATCTCTTGGGGCTAAGCAAGATTCAAGCGGCCAGAGCACAAACTAAAGAGGGCGCAGCTCAAGCCACTCATCCTATCGATTGCGCGCTCAATCAAAAAGCATGGCGAGCGCAGATCAGAGCACAGTTTTACTAGCATGGCAGAATGAGGTTTCTGGAGCTGACTCAGAACCCTTGAGCCTTGACACAAGCAGTTCATGCAAGGCTGTGGTTGGTGGTTTGGCTTGCTCTGGCATGGAGTCAACACGAGGCAAAGCTGCCCGCATGTGATGGGGCTCTAAGCTGCGAGAAAAGAAGCAAGCAGAATCTGCTAATTCATGGCACTTGACCAAGAACTATGGCAGGTTCACGCACCCAGTTCCCCAAACACTTGTCGCAACCCACTTCTGTTTCAGCCCACCCAGAAAGAGCAGGATGCATATGTCTCCCTCACACGCACACACACACACACACGGTCTCATGTGGGAGACCGTCACAGTAAACGTTGGTAGGGACCTTGCTGGATTTTCCACTACATCTCATTCGACAACCCATCGGATGATTTGTTTCTTTGAACAGCCACGCCACCGAAAAGGTTGGAAGTGACATGGATTCTTTGAGCCGGCAGGCCCAGCCAAGCAAACTCGAACACGAGTCTCACGCCCAGCCACCCGGATCTCGGTTGGGCCATGCTGCCCTTGCGCCCCGGAGCTGTGCGGGGAGCTCAGGAGCCGAAGTAGGCGTGCCTGATTTTAGGGGACCCCCCCGAGAAATGATAAAACAAGTAATAGCAATAATAACAATAATAATGATAATAATAACAGCAATAATAATAATAATAAAACTAATAATAGTGCAATGATGCTGGTTTTCCTTTGGCTTCCCCTGTAAAAGACTACCCCCATAAAGGGTAAGACACACTCAAGCCCAGTAACTCTGCTTGCGCTTTTCCGGCCAGCTTCTCGTGTCGCAGCCACGAAGCCAAGGCAAGAGATCGATGCTGCACACCGACTGCGCACACGTTTGCAAGGCGAGCAGTGGGCGATGTGACAGACAGATATTCTTAGATAGCCAGATGGGCAGTTTGTGGAGCCTTCAACAAAATGTACCGCTGTTGTGCAAAGCAGAATTGCCTCAGCCACTGTCTTTGGAGCAATCCTTTGGATAAACACTAGGCTTCGCACGGGGCATGGACATATGGGTATGGGTCAAAATCAAACCACCAGGGGACCGCAGGTTGTAGTCTACTTTTTCATTTACCAGGGTTCAATTTTGGGCACCTATGTTTGACCCATATTCGTTTTTCGACCTGCGGTTTGAAACCCCAGCCGAGGCTTTGGAGGAGCGGCGCCGCCTGGGCTGCCGACCCATGACCTGATCAACTTCCTGGAGCAGGCGTGGGCTGTGGCTCAGAACAATGCGCCACAATGGCGCCTCGGTAAATGGAACCAAAGAGTCTCAAACCTGCGTAAGCCCTGCTGTTCAATTTGGAGCCACGCCCGTTTGTAAGGGGTATACGGGCTGGTAGACTGCTGACGGCGTTTCTGCAAGATGCAGAGGCACTTTAAGTCGCAAGAGGTGAACTTGCGGTTGAACATGAAGTTGCGTTGCACAGCTGCGATCTTTCTCCGGAGGCGAAGCCAAATTCGGGTATGGGTCGAAATTCACCAGGATACGGACCGCAGGCTTTAGCCCATGTCTCCTTTTACCAGTGTTCCCAAAACGGGTACCATTTTTTCACCCGCATCCATTTGTTAAGTTGCACAAAAAAAATGTCTTTGCTCCCTGCAGGCTGCGCAGGCTCGCTTGGAGGGAGCTGGAAAGTGGGTGAGTCGGATTGGCCGGGCGGAAAGATCCAACTTCTTCGGTCTGTTTGTCTCCTGTCATTGGCCAGGACGCTGCGATGCAGGTAGGTGAGCATGGGGCATAACCTATGGCGAGCCATTTTGGGGTGGATGAACATCCATCTGATTTCCACCTATTTTGATGTTCACCAGGGGTTCCTGGGTTTTGACCCACAACCGCATGAGCATGAGGATCATGAAAGATGAGCCTTTTACATTTGGTGTTCTCCTGTTGCCTCTGAGTGATGATCTGCTGCTGTTTGCACCAGCAGACTTAAAAGCCTTTTGGCGAAGCCTTTGCAGCACTTGGCGACAGGTTTTGCTTGTTTTAGATATTGCCGAGTTTTGCCCTCATTCGGCCTTGCGAGGCGCCGCCTGCATCCAAGGCAGGGATATTTCCCTAAACATCATGGGGCCCTCCATTGAAGGGCCACCTCCATTGGAAGGTTTTGGGCCTCGAGAAAGGCCTTGGGCTCAAGATCTGCAGCTTCTCACAGCGCAAGGCTCCGCCTCCCCCAGCCGCTCCCCCGGCGGCTCCCCGGCCCGCGGTCCCGGCCCCGCCTTTGGCGGCCCCGGCGGGCGCGAAGGCCCCGGCCGCGGCGGGCCCTGCGGGCCTTGCGGCCCCTTCGGCGAAAGCGACGACTTCGGCGCCGTGGCGCGCGGGCCTCTGGCAGAAGAGACACATGGGTGCATGTGGCACGCGTGCGGCATGTCTCTCCGCTTTAGTAAATCTGGGAAGTGAACCCCACCCCATCCCACCTCACACCCCATCTCAGTCAGGTTACAGCCTGCTCTTGGGATCCAGGTACCAGCGCGCCCTGGCACAAGCCTCAAGCCAAGGATGCAGGCGGTTTGCTGACGGCTTTTTCGCTCACATCTTTGGTGCACCTCACGTTACGCTTCTCGCGTGTCTTTTGTGAGGGTACCCGTTTTTGGGGTTGCTGGAAAAATGGGACACCAAAGAAGGACAAACACCACGTTGGGCGGTCCCCTGAAAACACAGACCTAGATCCTACAGGAATGTTGCGAGGCTTCATTTTCCCAATGCGCCGCTTCAGCCAGGTGCAAAGCAGCCCACAACCTTCAGTAAGGCCGGTGTCGTCGAGTCGAGCACATCTACCATGGTGCTCTTCTAGCCGGCCGTGATCAAGTCATTCTGCGTCACGGCTCTGTTTGTGCCGCGTTTATTTCTCGGTCCTTTATGAGTGGCGGGCCAAATGATGGACTTCCTTGTTTTGGAGCACACATCGCATGCACAATTCCTGTTGCTTGATGGTTGCATGTCCGCTGCTAAGAGCCTGGAATGCCGATGGCTGTTTTGAGGCAAGTCTGGTTGCTGCCTATGGGGATCGTGCACGTCGATTTCTCATGTCCATCCAGCAGGTTTGCAGGGTATAGTGTATAGGTGCACCAAAAGGAAGACTAAGCAATTGAAATTTGGCTGTGGGTCAAAATTAACCATCCAGGGGACCGCATGTTTTAGTCTTTGGCTCCATTTACCAGGGCAAGCCATTTTGGGTACGCATTTTTGACCCACAGCCATTTGGTCTCTGATGTTCACCTTCTGTGCGTTGCAACAAGTTCTGCGATCCGCGGAAGGCAGCCCCCAAAGCCCCGGAGCCTGCCAAAGAGGAGGACTGTGGTTGCTGTGGGAGCCAAACAGTTTGTTCTGGCCCACCAAGAAAATGCAACATCAAGCCTCCATTTCATGCCTCCTGATTTTCTCTTGCCTGTTTTTGCGAATGATCATTCCTTCCAAGGTCCGCACTCTGTACTTGTTTTTCCAATCTTTGGTGAAGGAAGTCATGCGAATTGAGAGCCTACGTTGCTGCCTTTGGATTGTTTGTGAGCGGTTTGCTCAGGTCCTTGGTCCAACTCTGGCCATTTCCCCATGAGGAGCTTGCAAAGGCGCTGTCCAGCCATTTGCCCGGCACTTTAGTCGACTTTGGACTCCGTGCCGCTGGGTTTCGACCAAAGGGATCTGATGCAAGGCCCCTGTCTTGGTGAATTTTGTTGGACTTTTGCGCTTGTTTTTGAGCGATGCTCGGGACTGATAAGTGCCCTTGTGACTGTGCATCAATCTCTACATAGGGTTTAAGTGTGTGGCCCAAGGATTGTCAGAGCAACTGCTAGCACGCTCAGTTTGGAACGAGATGGTGCGCAGATCACAAGACTGTGGCCCTCATTTGTGATTGATCTTTTGCCATGTCTGCGTGATGGCCCGATACATATTTGCCGGTTTGCATTCCCAGCGTCTTGTAAACGTCTGGCCAAGTCCAGCGGCTACCCATCCTCTCATGAGGCAAAACCCCTCGGGAACGCCAAGTGCAGAGCTCATCAAGGCACAGAGAGAGAGAGAGAGAGAGAGAGAGAGAGAGAGGGGGACGATGGAGCCTTTGATTGGCCTTGTTTGTTTTAATCATCCCTGTAAGCAACTCGTGGCATTTCGGCGATCAGTATTTCAGGGTTGGAACCATCCACGTCTCCAGGCCCTATCCAAAGCGGCAAATGAGGACAAGGCCTGCCAGTCAACGCGAAGACCATTTGGGTATGATTTGGGTATGGGTCAAGAGTCAAAATTAAGCCAGCACAGGTTTTAGTCCATGTTTCCACTTACCAGGGTTGTGGGCACCTATGTTTGACCCACCGCCATTTTTTGCTTTTGGCGCAAGTAGTGAGACGACCAGCGACCAGTCCCGGCAAGGGCACTTGGACTGGAGGCACTCGAAGGAA